GCGTTTGCATCAGTCGAGAAACTGGGGAGATGAATTTGGTTCCGGACGAAAATAGACTGTATCATTTCTGCTCCGGTTAAATATCGGGTCCATTGCATAGGTCAGTTATCTTGGTAGCTGTTAACGTACTCATTGATACCTGCTTCTCTGTTGTGTTACGGAGAAGCGCCGTAAGTGAATTTTTGTCAGTGGCCAGAGCAGAGACAAGAGACCCTCCACTAGTATCTTGGCCATGGTGGAAGCTTTTACTTTCGGGACTTAAGCATTCTACTGTTGACTTACCTACACGGTTGATGTTTAACAACGTGTTGGCAGTTTCGTTTCGCAAACAAGCCGAAATTGGCCGAAGTTTAGGAAACTTGTTTGGCTCATGACGTCACCCGAAGCTCATCATCGACCATGTAGGTAAGTCAACAGCCGAAACTAGGGTGATGACTGTTGCTCCCTAATAATTGTCCATAAGGAATTGTTGAAACCCCGAAAGTAAAAGCTTCCACCTGTCGCCAAGAGGCCAGTAGAGGGTCTCTTGTCTCTGGGCCAGAGGTAAAGGACGTTTCCCCATTTGAAGCTGAGCTAACGGATCGATTACTGTGCAAACACCCTGTCTATCGATTATTTTCCATAGGTTTAAACGACCGATCAATCGATACATCGCAAAGCACACCACGCCTCACCGCTGGGCAGATCGTGCTGGAAAATCAGCACTTATCCCCGATTAACCCCATGTAAAAGACCCTCTTTTCATCGTACAACCTGGAAACCTTCATTTTTCGGACACGACAGTACTCGTCTCGATTTCTCTATGTTATTTATACACAAGAAGTATGCGACTAACTGTGAGTAGAAAGGATGAAAAAAAAGCTACATCGGTGCCTGCAGCTACAGCGATTACTTTTGGAGAGGAACTGTATTTTGTTGCTCAGTTTCGAAACAACGTGTGTACATGCGACAAGAGCCATTGAACACTTTAAGACATTTAAATGCGAAAATCAGAATCTGACATTCTGTTCCCAAGATCAAAGTTTCATCCCGCTCTTTTCTGGCTACTCAAAATTCTAGCGCATTGATTTCATTAAAAAAAACAAATCGGAAAGAATTATAGACATCAGTTTTTATTTGACTTGGATTCTTAATTTAAAAGCGCAGTATGATTCATAACAACATCAACGTTCTCAGTGACGTGGCGTGAATGATCGATTATCGATAAGTCCCCATTTGAGGCTACGGTAAAGAATCGATTATTACGGTGTTCGCTGCGAACAACCTGTTAATCGATCCTTTTCCATAGGTTTAAATGGAAGATCAATCGATGTATCGCAAAGTACGCCACGCCACTGAACGTTCTGTGCCGTAAGTCGATTTCCTGGTATGCTGAGACAGTTTCCTCTCAAAAATGCGAAGAATTCGCCGCATCATAATACTTATAGGCAGTTATGCTCGGAAACACTTGAGAAATGCAGGTGCGTCATTCAATTTCTTCGCCACTTCAGATTGTGGGCTCTGATTATTTATTATTGAAATCACTTGATCTCTCTATATCTCCCTCCTTCACTTGTCTATTTATTTGGTGTACTTTTTCTTGATAAAAAGAACACTTCATTTTCACTTATATCAAATCCTCTTCAAAAGTTTGTAGAATTAAAGTCATCAAAGAGTGATTGAGAAGAACAATGGCAATGCTCCACAAATACTAAAGTTCTTTAAGACTACTTGGCAGGAGCGTTGGGGCATATTTTGACCGCCAGGACATACAGGCGACTGATTTAAGGACACATGACGTCATCAACGCCGCGAACCTTTACCACAAGATAAGAAAAAAAACCACATATGAACATAATTACTTTGACATATTATATATCTTTGAAGACGGAGGCGATAGTCAGTAAAACTTCCAAAAAGTTTGTGGATTTCTTCTTTCATCAACATTTACAGAATATTCAATACAGGGTTGCCACATAAATTAGAAAATGAAATTCCCCGACATTTCCCTAACACATTTTGGTAAAATTCGACGATTGAAAGTATACCACGTATAGTTATAAAGACAGACTTAGTAATAAGAAACGTCAATACCATTCCAGAAAGCGAATAAAGGTGCGGCTTAACAATTTTTCCCTGACATTTCCAGGTTATCTCTAACATTTTAAAATTCCCTGACACTTTCCGGTTTTCCTGGTGTTCCCTGAGTGTGGTAGAGATTTTCGAGTGAAATATCTGACAATTTTTACGAGTCTATTGGTTATTTGAGGACTTGCACTGCTCAAATTCATTCGAAAAGAGTCATATTTCAACTTCTTGATGTTCCTTATGAAAATTGTCTCATTTTTGTAATTGGGTCCAAACATTTTGGAATTGACGGATTGTGCACGTTTTTTCTCATGCTTTTCACCCTATTTTGAACAATCGGATATAAATTTCCACTGAAGTTGGCTAATCGCCAGCAGAGACAGATAATTGTGACTGTATCTCAAACACACAACCCACGATCATGCAAGAGACCCGGCCAGCACAGAAACGGAGCACTAACGCCACGTTCATGAGGGAGTGCTGAGGAAGTATAAAGGAGCCCAAACAAGTCAAGATTTTCATGAACGGGCACAAACCAAAACAAACCATAGCGCCACAAAATTCAGGTACGGAAGAAACAGCGTATACGTTCAGACGTTTCTTACGCACAAGCCGACGGAACGAATGCAGTGTTAAGAGAAAGGGTATAAATTAGAACACTCATTTCTGTCTGTGAGAACACAACTAGAGTCCCTTCATAGAGAGAGTTGAGACAACGCGGCTCATGGATGTCACAAAAGGGAATAAAGATTACACAAATTGGACGTTTTTTGTAATCTTTGATCGGCCTATTCCCTAATTCCTATCTTCGTTCCCTCTCTCGTTCCATTTGTTCCTTGCCGTACCCCCGATGTCCCGGTCCATTCCAGTTTATATTCCTTGCGACTGGTGAAACTGTAATCTTTATTCCCGTTTGTGACACTGTGAAGGCCTAAAATACGGGAACCAATCAGAAATGGACTCGCATTGTCTTTACTCTCAGAATAAAGGGACTCTAAACACAACATTCTTGGAGGGAAGGGATTATGATGAATCGCCATGAACAAACTCCCGACTGAGAGTTGAGCTGTTTAAAAATTTGAGGCAGTCATTTCGAACACATAATTCTGTATTTGAGAATAAAAATCCTGGCCTTCTGAATATTATGCTCTCTAGCCCGCACTGAAGTTCGAGAGGCAGACATGAACTCAAAATCAACAAAAAATCACAACATTCACCTGAACCCAACAGACAAAACAAAAAACCGAACCAGAGCCGAGAGAGTAGCACGTCAACAACGCAGACCTTTGACGATGCAATTCTGAGTGTTATAATTAAAAACACCACGTTGAGAGCTTTTAATCGCAAAAACTTACAGGCCTCTTGCGGCCGAATGTTGTAGCGGGGTTGACGAGGATTTAAAGAGAAAAATTCTTTAAACCTCTGATGAAAACTGCGTTGCAAATAACATTTCTAGTAATTTTTGCGCAGTTGGATACTTTTCTCTGACATTTTTTTACATTACACTGTGATATTAGCATGATTTGCATAGTTCAGGAAATACTCAAGTCCTCCTCTCTTTTTTTCACTGTCCTTCCTTCTTAAAGTTTTTCTCGTTATACGGCAGCAATAAATTATGAGCGCTCCGATGGAGTAATAAGAGTGAAACAGAGTTTTGCATACACTTCACGAAGGTTGTCCTGTCCGCGGACTGATTTAGTGGCTCCGTCAGGGTTCAAATGTAAACAAACACATAAGCTTCTTTCTGATTCGCGCCCTTTGCGTCATGGTGGTATAATGCGTTCAAGTGTTTCTTACAATCGAAATTTCTCGTGTTTAATGAGTTCTTATTTGATTTATGACCGGTCAATGACTAAAGTTTAGTAATTAACACAATTGACTCATGAGAAATTCGTACATGTGGTTATGTTAGTTGGTTTTGGTTTGAACCAAGAGTTCGATATTATATCGGATGACGATTGAATCAGTCTATTGCAAGAAGGTAACGATATTACCACTGTTCATGACGAGAAATAGACGCCTAAAACGCTCTGCAACCAGTAAATGAACTCTGTTGCTACAGACGACAAGCAAGATAATGCTCCGAGTGGATTTTTGTAATATTAGTCTTTTGGTTTATAAAATGAATAATAGTTGTTCTTAAAACTTCGTACACACACGGGTCTGGAAAGTTCGTTAAATTGACTCAACAAATTCACGCATCTAATATTACTACAGTAATTAGGCAATTAGATATTTTCTAATTTTTTGATGCGAGGCGTTATGCTGCTTAGTAGCACGCATAAAGGCACGTTGCTTTTTTGGGGAGCCTTAAATTGTTAGGGGTTCGCAATTGTAAGTATGTTCAACTTATCTAATTGCATGGTGGCTTCCACGTGCGTGCAAACGTTATATTCAGAACTGAAATTCCATCAGTAACTGACAAACATAAAATGGTTAAGTGATAACAAAACGTTTCGATATCGCCAAATCTAAGCTTAGCTCAAAGGACACTTTTCCACCGCTGTCTCTCTTTCTATCTCTTCTTCTCATCTTCCTCATTTGACATGTTTCCACGAATATTTCACTTTTAATTTCAATCGTCATATTTAGTTGTGAGCAAAGTTCATGTTCGCTTTTTTAACTTGCTCAGCTGTGTGACTCTCCGGCGCTCGAGAAAGACAGCCGCATCCACTATTTATTCAAAGCTAAAATATTTAAATGATATATTTATGATTTATTTCTCTTATTTAGTGTGTTTATTTTTATCAAAATTGGTCGTCGTTGCTGAAATGCTTCCTCTCGCTTTTGCCAAACGCCACCAACAACACAAGATCATCGCTTCCACCAAAACGTGAGCAAAAGGAAAATAAGAGTCAAACAGTTAGTTGGACATACAGGAGGCTTGTGGTTGGTAGTGATGACTAGGTGCTGGAGCATGGCTCGAGACTCACCCTTCGCACTGAAGTTGCAACACAGAGTCGATGAGACCATACACTTAGCACAACAATGTTTTGCTTCGGATCCATCTAGAAAAAAACTAAAAACGTCAACAAATCCTTTTAAAACACTTGAAAAATGGAGCTGGGGTAGCATGAGACCAGTAAAATGAAAAGAAAAAAAAAATCCCGACTTTTCATCATTTCACTCCGATTTGAAAATAAGGCATGAAGAAATTTAAAAAAAAAAAACTAAAATGCGGTTAATTTGAACTGCAACATTGATATGCATCCGAATTTACCTCTATTTGAAAGATAAAATATTCACACTTCTCGGATCAAAATTGGAAAAACTTCGATTTCAAAATTGTTGCGGTTCTAGAAATAATTTAATTTGTCTGCAGCGTAGAGATGCTATCAACCTTCTTTCACGGGCGCTGAGTGTCGATCTTAAGTTCATGTTCTTTTGTATTTAAAAATCAAGAGGAAAAAGAATTAACCCCAAAACTTGTGGAGCATACAGGCGTGCCTAGGTCATTTTCCTGGGGGGAGCCTGCTCCCCTTTGGACCCCCCCCTTCTCCAAAAAAAAAAATCACGACTTGATATCGAACGTAATTTAGGAGGACTGTTCTATAAGAATTGATAAAGCGGGGCGCACTAGATAAATGAGGCATTTTGAGATCAGTCCTTCATTACAGCATGTGCATCGAAAAGTATGCTACACACGTCTGGAACTGAAAAAGTCATTATTGGTTGCAGTGGCGTGGCGTGCTATGCGATATATCGATTGATACGCCATTTAAATATATGAAAAAGGATCGATAAAGAGGGTGTTCGCAGCGAACACCTTAATAATCGATTCTTTACCATGGGTTTAAATGACACAACAATCGATATATCGCAATTCACGCCACGCCACTGATTGGTTTTAAGATTGACATAATACGAGGAGCGAGAGTTTGTCACGGGAGAAAGGAGGGAGAGAGAGAAAAAACCAGTTGTTGGCTCAGAGTCGACTGAACCGACGATTACGAATGTGCATGAGACGACTGGTTTCAGTCTCGGGGCTCGAAGTTGGACCGTCGTAGAGGTCGATTAGCTGAAAGTCGATACTTATAAAATCGATAAATTTGAGAATGATGCATGACAAATCGAGCTATGCAATGGAAAATGGGATGGAGGAGAATCCGGAGGTGCAGAAATTGCCCCATCACGCGCTAGGGTAGGTGTGTACAAATCTGGAAAAGCCCTCAAAACGTGGGAGGAGGAAAATTTTGAAGAGGAATCAGTTGAAAGTCGACAGAAAACAGAAAACAGGTAATCTTTTATTAAATTGATGGGAAATTTTGTGGAAAACCGATGAGACTAAATGTGGAAAGCCCGCGGGCGGGCGCGTGAAAATGTGGAAGGGCCCTAAAATGTGGAAGTGGGAAAAATTTTGAAGGGCATCGGTCGAAAGTCGACAAAAAACAGAAAAAAAATTCATCTCTTCTTAAATTGGTGGGAAATTTTGTGGAAAACCCGCGGGCGAGCGGGCGCCTGAAAATGTGGAAGCTTGGAGGATTCTGCACCCCTGGGAGAATCTATGGAATATAAATCGAATATGAACCGATGTATGCTACATAGATTTTTCGGAATGACAGCTCATATGAAATGCGCACGACGTACATTTTTTCAACGTTCAAAAACACCAGTCTGAGAGAAAATTTCCACAGAGAATAAATTGGATTTTTTCATTGAAATGCATCAGGATGAGATGACGTCAACGTATCCATTAAGATACTTAATTGGAGGAAAAACTATTTGAGAGAGCAAAAATGTGCAGCTGCGTCACGAAGAGAGCTTTCACAGAGCAGAAGTCACGGCTTGCGCTTTTATTTTTTGGAAAGAGAGTTTCCACCATTTCCAGATTTTCGCACAGAATTTCATGTTTCCAACGGTAAAGTAACCAGTAACCTGGCGACAGAGGCGATTCTTGGCAGTTGGCAACACTGTTTTTCCATTTAAATGTATATATAACAATCGATTCTTGTTAAGGCAACTTGCCTCGCTTAGAATCGATATTTTCAATGGGTTTGAATTGAGAAAAACAATGCTGCCGACTTACGAAATCGCCACTGTCTACAATCCTTGCTTTTACATTACTTTTTCTTCACTTTTTCCATACCTCTCAAAAAAGTCCTCTTTCCAGAGATTTCCTGTAATCCTCGCTTTTTCAAAGCCTGCTCCTATTGTTTCTCTTGCCTGACTGACTATTTGAACTCTGACAAGGACTGAAATAAAAGACGCAAAATCCAACCGAGATGTT